CTTGTTTGTCTCATGTAATAAAGTTGTCTGAGTGTAATCATTAAAAATGCTGGTATATTATAATTTAGTTTTCATGCATACTGAAATGGCTTTCAACATTGCTTTTAATCTGTACAGTTTAGACCTGAATTATTTAAATTCTGTCACCGGGCCCATCAGTTTTCTTGAAATGCTTAAAATTGAATGAATACATGAATTATGAATTTTTGTTTGTCAGTATTTTATTTCCTCAGTGATATAATTATGCAGCGAACAATTCAAGATGTTTTACTATATGTATATGTTGTGTATGTGTACGTGTGTGTGCGTATATACTGTTTCACACTGACCAAGTACAGAAACAGTTGATGGTTGAGATGTTTGGTATCGTAACATTTTGCTGTTGAAGGCCTGACAGCTGTAGTTTCCACTTTGACTTGAGTGAATGTTAACCAGTCTGAGCTCTGGTCCAGTACCAGGCAGCACCACTCCATCCAGAAACCACTGATATTCAGCAGAAGGTCGAGACTCAACTGAACAGATCAGACGAATGTCTGCTCCTTCTTCATAGTGATGTTTTGATGGAGACACATTCAACTGTATGTTTTCTGGGCCATCTGAGTGGTAAAAACAGGGCAAAATGGGTAAACTGTTAATGGTAGTGATAAACTGAGAGATTTCTTTTCCAATTGTAGGAGGAAGTGATCTTTAAGTGTGCTGCAGCTTACAACTAATGAAGAGGGTTACTGGATCACTTCTGGCATTGCTGACAGGATTGGACACATGACAGCTATACAGTCCCTGATCATAGCGGGTCACATCAACGATAGTCAGAGTAGATCCTCCATCAGAGATCTGGACTCTGTTACTGAGTGAAACCTCAGAGCTGTTGTTCATCCAGAGGAAGGAGAGAGAAGATCCAGAGGAGGAGCAGGACAGACGGACAGAACTGTGCAGCTCAACTAAGTCTGCACTTCCCGGGGTAACTTTGACGTTGGAGACTGGCTCTGTGGTTGCAAAAGAAAACAAAAACATTTGGAAATGCTGGAAATGTGAACCAAACAGTGTTTCAAAATCAGAGATAAAAACTTAAAGATGCCATTACTATGTGTGATTGTATAATTTTGTACCAATGAATGACATAGAAAAATGTTTACGTCTCCAGAAAGTTATGCATTTAAAGCAGAAATACAGAAGACAATTTCAATGCATAGATATTAGAAGCAAAAAGTGTGAAAGGATTTATCAAAGTGCAGCCAAAATCTCATCCTGTATCATCTCAGGGTTTCATATAATAACATATGGAAAAAATGATGGACCTGATCATTTATTTCATTTATAATTTTTTTTAAAAACATAATCATAATTGTTTGTTTTTACTACAGGTTTACCATATATCTGCAGCCTGGTGATTCCAGACTTCTCGACATCCTCAGCAGGTATAACATGAACTCTGTAATCTCCACTGTCACCGAGTTTCAGGTTCCTGAGCTCCAGAGATCCAGTTGATAAAAACAGAGTTATTCTGCCTTCATACTCTGGGTCAGTAATGTTTACAGTAGGAAATGAGACTATGATATCATTTTCAGTACTAAAAGTCCAAGTCACAAGCTGAAATGGTATTGTTGTTGGATTAAGGTTTGTTCTGAACGTCACCGTTCCTCCAGCCGATGCATTTAGAGGACCATCTGGTAACAAACCAGCTCCTTCAGACAAACCTGCCAGAAACAGTTTTTAATTAGTAATGAGGTTCAGTTAAAACATGTTTGCTTAAGGTTCATGTAATAATCCACTCATATCCACATTTTCTTTTTCATGCGGTAGAAGTGCTTCAAAAGCTGTAGATATTAACATTCTTCTTCCTAGAAGGTGTCTAATTTAAACTCTTCTAATCCATTTAATTGATGTTCTGTCTGAGATGGTGACAGAAAATATGAATCACACAAAGTTTATTTACATTTTTTTAAATCTTTTTCAGACATAAACTATCCAGGTCATGAAGGTGGGTTGTCTAAACCATTTCAAAAACCCTATTTTTGTACTAATGATGAAATTCTTTATTTAAAAAAAATAGAAAAGAGAATCTTTAACTTTTGTTGCGTTGTTGGATTAATTTAATCCATGTCACCAAAATTGTCATTGTCAGTTCTAATTTATGATAACTAGCAATTATAAAACTGTACTGGATGTCAACATATTTAATGAGCTATAAAAATTTCTAAAAATAATGATAAGTTCTTCATAGAATAAATAATAAAATCCCACCTGAGACGGCTCCGAGGATTGCAAAGTATATAAATACTGTTTCCATCTTGTCTCATCAGGCACAAAGACTGAAAAACAGATCCTGCTTTCCAGGCTGGTATGCTGGTATGAGGTAAACTGAGGTGAAGGAAGTAACATTGAAAAGCTTAGATGACCTTGATGTGGTAATCATTAACAAGTGTATCTGTATTTAATTATCTTTAAACATGTGAACATCTTCACATTGTATTGAACTGCTTTGATAAATATGAGTTTACCAAAACGGAACAGATTAAACTTTCGTTTCAAATCCGCTTTCATATATTTGTTCATAATTCTCTGTAGACATCACAAAAGTTATCTTGATGGGTTCTGTAGATGTTTGAAGTGTTTGAAAGAGACAAGAATAAAACAGTGTTTTTTTAATTCAGGAAGAACAGTTTTTATTCAGAATAAATAGAAGTTAAAGATATAAAATGTTCATGTCAGTGATTAAAAAAACATAGTTATGTTTTATTGACATGCACAGGTTCAGGACTTTTCTTGATTACTTTCAACATCGATGCCACATTGAAGTAAATATAAACAGTTCAGGTAAATTAATAAGTAGAAATGAGCACATTTTCACTTTCTTTATACACTTTGCAAATGGTATATGTGCTGCTAATGTAGGTAAAATTTGCCAAACACATTGTCAAACTAGCATTCTCATTTTTACAAAACGTTAAGGTCAGAAATCTGTTTATACAAGTAGTATTTCATTATAAACACCGAGTGAATAAAACCATGTTTACTCCAAACTGAAGCGATGACACTAAGGTCCAAAGAGCAGCATGAATCTGTGCTACATTGTAATCTAGGTCAGAAAAAGGTGGAAAACATAAACAACTGCTCTCATCATGAACTGAACTCTGACAGATAACACCTTGTTTATTCATCTGGTCTATCAAAACAAATAAAATCCAGTCATAAATACATTTATATAAAAGAAATGAAATTACTAAAAATTAAACTGTTCATAAAAAACATGCTTAGCTTATATAAGAATTACAATTGTTTATCAGAGTTTAAATCTTTACAAAGTCCATTAGAATATTCAGGTTCATTTTTTACATTTCTTTATCTAAGACAATTATTTATTTAAAGGAACTTATTATTAGTTGGATTTCAACAAAGCTCTTGTAAAGCCATTTTTAATTCAAAAGGGGGAATTTAGCCTAGTAGAAAAATAAATAGGCATAAATGCTCATGCACAAATGAAACCTGTTAATGTTAAATTGCTAAATGAATCAAAGTTATTTTTTGTCTTTGAAATTACTAATTTACCATCTGTTTTTCTGTGTCTTGATATTATTTTGTTCATGATATATTGAGAGAATTAGTATGGCAGAGACCAAGTAAAGTTGTGCCTCCTACTTGAGCACAAGAAACTAATTCAGGTGTGTGCGTATGAATCTGACAAGCTCGCTCAAATCACGCCATATGGCGCCACCTCCTGGTTCTGTATGTTAGAAACTGAAGGTTCTAAAATAAAAGAATTAGACAATAATTGAATGATCTAAATCAGATAATTCAGTGATTTTTTTGTCACCTCTTCATAGGTACATAATATTATGGAGTTACATAAAATATGAATGATTCGATTGAAAGAACTTCTTTTTTTATAAAGTGTATCAAGACAACATTTTAGTTGAATGTGAGTTTTGTCAATAAACTAATTGAACCAAGTCAAACATGTCTTGATTAAATATGAGCTGCTTTGTTAAGGGACTCATTTTAAAAGGTTTCAGATACAGTTTATTAAGACAATTGTTTAAGTGATTTGTCATTTTGCCATATTTATTTATCAGTCTTCAGCATCTATTATATTTTAGAGATTATTCTATTTTCCACAGAGGAATAAAGGTCTTACAGGAAAGGTTATGTTTTCTAGATCTACTCTGTAACAGGAGCCTTAGTGCTTGGGTCCATTTCATAAATAACAAGAAATCACTTTAGTTTCTCTGGAACAGTATCAAAGAGTGGTACACACCAATAATGCTCTGCACCACAAAAACACAAAAACTAGTAATTTTGGTCTGGTTTCTCGTAAATATGAAGCCTTGGGGTAAATTCAAACTGGAAGACTCTCTAGCCTGGCCTGCATCGTCCAATCGGTGTGTCTCACTCATCGTCATCGACCTATCAATGCTGGACCAAGCCATGTCACGCCCAATCATCGGCCAAGCTCCCGCTGATAAGGACCTCCATCCATGGCACCTTCCGCTTTCCAGCTGCGCTCAACCCACCTCCGCCCCTTCTCCACCTCCACTCTCCTGGCTCTTCAGGCTCCCATCCAACACTGACCTCCCACCACCAGTATCGGGTCCCGGGGGATGACATTAATTCATGCATGTCAATAAACCTTTTCAATTGCGGTCTTTCTCTGTCTGAGTCTCTCCAGATTGAAATATTAGTACACTTGAAATAAGACTACACTAACTCACAAGTAACCTTTCGGCAAGAAATAGGAGCATGTTTTAAATCAATAATTCCTCAGTATGGATGAAAGATATTAGTTCTGTTGGCAAGATTTGAGAGAGTTAGTAATTACTGAAATAATCAAGTACTTTGCTGAGCTTTTGCTCAGCAAGCCACAGCTCTTTTTGCTTGCTGAGCAGTTACTTGTGAGTTAGTTTTGTCTTATTTTAAGTGTACTAAGATAGTTGCACTAAAAACTAGACATAAAAATCTGTTAAGATTGTGTGTTTTTGCAGTGTAAATAATATGCTTTTCAATTAAATTGTAATTTAATATAAGGTGAATAAAATTAAGGAATGGGAACAAAAAACAGGTTAACATTTCTGAAATATGTACAGTATCTGCACATCATTATGAGGCATTATGAGGTTTCTTCCTTAATATTCATTTCATTCCAAAAACACAATAAAAGCAGAAATATTTCAATGAAAGCCTTAAAGGCCATTAAGACAACAAAGAACCATCAAACATATTGTTTTAAAGCTTCTTGATCTTGAGGCTTTGAATTAAAATTAGTGATGACACATGAGGTCTGACCTGTTTAACTGTTAAAAATAAGATGATAAATCATAACTTTGTTTTAAAGAAATGCAGTTAAAGGCCTGCATTTCCTGCTGACCACTAGAGGGAGGTGTCTGACAGGTTTTTAACAGCTGTAAGTAGTTGCTGACAACAGAGGTTTGTACTCAAACCTATCAGTTAAACTGAAAGTTGAGGAGAAAGAAGAGTTTTTCATGGCAATAATGGTTTCTGTTCAACAGGAGCTTGATGGGAAGAAAGGCAGAGAGAAAAGAGGAAGTCATGCATCAAATTGCTCTAAACCTGGAAGTGAAATGAGGTCATCTGCATTGTGAACTGCAGCCTCCATATTTGGAGCTTCTGCTCTACCACTGAGTCACTTCCCTGAATATGTTGTTCTTGTTTACTTTTGTCTCTACGGCTTCCTCTTTTTAGCAAAACAGCATCTCATAAATTGTGGCGAGACAAGATATTGCACTCCTTTTCAACCATCTAAATCTGACCTAAATAACTAATCACAAAATGTTACAATCATAGCAGAGGATCAAGAGGTTGAAAAGTCAAGGCTTGGCATCACTACAGTCAACAGTAGATAAATAGAATAGCTGAAACCAAATCTTATCAAAGACTTGCATTGATGAAACTTTTTTAAAATTATTTTCTGACTCTAGATCAATTTGGAGGATTACAGTGAATGAACATTTTAGCAATGTTTGAAGAATGTATAAAACTTTACATATTTGATTCATTATTGTAAAACTTTAAAACTTTCAGCAAGGAGATAAATAGGAATAAACCCAAAAGGCAAAAATACAGCAGAACCAGTACCAGTTTCTTCATGTTGTATCATGTTTTTTTCTCAGATGATCTGTTACAAGAAAATATATTAGTGCAATGATTGACTGCATACTCTCACAAGACTTTATAAAAACTACTTAACTGTTGAGTAGTTTTAAAATATAAAGTAATTAAAATGTATCCAAGTTCTTGAAACTGTTTCCTTTTTTAACAGATTCCTACTTCAGAACTCACCTTTAAAGAACCAAAGGCTGTTTATTTTATTTCTTCTTTATCCGTCTCATTTCCTCATACACATGTTCTGGTTCTTTACTTCTTTGTGTAGCTGCAGAATTCTCATAAATATGACTTTCTTCCTTATTTTTATTTTTTTTTATTTTTGGCATGTTTTCATAATCATGTTGTTGCTCTGGGAAGAAAAATATTTTAAACAATGAGATTTAAAATATTTTATTAATACGGGTATGAATGATAAGCCAGTTTAAGTTATTTCCTTGAGCTCTAAATGAAACAAGTTCTCTAAATTGTTTACATTTACAATGATCCAGTTACTAGGAAAGTGAAGTAATTGAGATTCATGTATTGAATGGAGCGTAAACATACTGACCTGTTGTGCCTGAATGTGGTCCAGGTTTGACATCTTTTCTAAATGTTGGGGCAAAATATATTATTAAAATGTGTTAATCAACATACTAATCATCATTAATTTCTGGAAAGCAAAAAATAAAACTAGAAATTTTATAATGCAGGTAGGATAACTTGTATATGACATACAGGAGGACATAATCAAGGCAACTTGTGATAATTAATTTAGAGAATACTTATGTGATGTTAATCAGAGTTTAGCATGAACTGTGGTCTAATGTAGTTTAAAAAGCTCAACATATAAAATGTATTGTTGGTTACATAAAGAAACTCACCTTCTTTTGTAGATGAAATATCCTCCAGCAGCTCCTGCAGCAAGAACTAACAAACATGTGATTACTATTCCAGCAATGGCTCCACCAACGAGACCTGCAGGTTTACTAGCATCTGAAATAAAGTAGAAAACACAAGAAAGCAGTTTTTTTTTTTTTTTTTTTACAAAAGAGTTTATATATATATATTTTTATCACATTGAAATTATGAAGACTTTTTAAAATTAAAATTCCTTCTCTCACTTATATGGCATTTAGCTGTTAGAGATAATTTGGTAAAGGTTACAAATTTAAACCATTTTCTGCAATTCTGATTTTTCCTCTGACATTTTCTTTTACTTTATTATACTTACCATCTATAGAGATAATTGAAACTTCAGACGTTTGATATCTTGAGGTTCTGCTGTTAAAGGCCTGACAGCTGTAGTTTCCACTCTGATTCTTCTGAACATTGAGGAGTTCAAGCTGAGATCCAGAACCAGGCAGAACGTTTCCATTAAAGAACCACTGAAAACTGGCATTAGGTCTGGAGTCAGCTGAACAAGACAGACGGATGTTCGACCCTTCTGGATATTTCTGAGACTGTGATTTTAAGTTGACATTTTCTGGACCATCTGCAGTTGTAGAGAACAATTAATATGAATTCATTCTATATGTTAACATCACTGCAAATTTCATAGAATTAGTTCAACAATTTCATTAAGACAAATACTACAAACAATTAAAAAAAGTGCATATCCAAAGTTTATTGGTCCCCTATGTCATTATTGACATTATCATTACAGTGGATTTAATAATGTTTTATTAATATGATGACATTTTACTTAATCTAATTCGAAACAATGTATTTCTGATATTTACTAAATTATGTAGAAATAGAAACAAATAACAGTTTAAGTTCTGATAAAGTTGGCATTGTCTCCAGTTCAAAAGGAAGTTATCTAATTAGTGAATAACTCACAGCTGACAGAGAGGTGTAGTGGATCACTGATGGCACTGCTGGCAGGATTGGACACATGACAGCTGTATGATCCATCATCATATCTGGTCACATTGAATATCTTCAGCTTGGATCCTCCATCAGTGATCTGAACTCTGTCACTGGCTGAAATCAAAGAGCTGCTGTTTATCCAGAGGAAGGAGAGAGAAGATCCAGAGGAAGAGCAAGAGAAGCTGACAGACCCACTGAACTCAATCAATTGGGTAACGTCTGGAGTAACTTTTACATTAGAGACTGGTGCTGTGGGTGGAAAAAAAGAAAACAAAATAAACATAAATCAGTCTTACATGACAATAAAGTACAATTGAAGAAAATTTTCATAGGGAAAAGGACGGAGGACATGAATTATGTTCTTCTATGTAAAAGTTGGTTTTAAAAACATTTTTAGGACAAGACAAGTGTCTCAAACTGCCTGGTGGCATTTTTCTCCTTCAAAGCAAAGCACTATCAGTGTTCAGTAAAAGAAACAATGTTGTACTAGTTAAAGTTGCAACTATTATTGCTTAGTAGGGTTTCACCGATTGGAGTTTTCACTGATTACCGATCTTTAAAAAGACTGACCAACAGATTCCGATTTTGGCTGATGCCATGTTTTTTTTGTCTGGGGATTCATATAATATGGTCTATACCAAAAGTAATTACACTGAACTGTTAAATAATGCACAAAAGTTATTGCTAAAAATAAAGAATGGTTCATTTACTGCAAAAAGCTGACAACATTGTGACATGATGGAATCATTTTGTATTTCGTGTTGCAATTTTTTTGTTTTGTTGAACTCATGAGAGCACATTAAGATAATGAGATCTCTGTATTTGCATGTATCTTTTTAAATATGCAAATGTGAGCAAAAATATAAACTTACAATTAACAGAGATGTCTACTGGATCACTGATGACTGAACTGACAGGATTGGACACATTGCAGGTGTATGATCCCTGGTCATTTCTGGTCACATTGACTATAGTCAGATTGGAGTTTTCTTCATTTGTAGTGATCTGAACTCTGTTATTGGTTGTAACCTCAGAGTTGCCTTTCATCCAGATGAAGGAGAGAGAAGATCCAGAAGAGGAGCAGGACAGATGAAGCGAGCTGGTGAACTCAATCAAGTCTGCACTTAGTGTGGAAACTCTGACATTGGAGACTGGTTCTACTGGTGGAAAGAAAAAAATCTAACTTAAAGTGGCATTATATGAACGGGAAAACAACCATCAGGATCAAATTAAAGAATGAAGATTGCTTTTCACAGGTTGAAAAATGTGAGAAGCACAATCCTTAATTAATGTTCAGCATTTGTTTAGAAAGTAAATTTTCTTTATACAAAATAATTTAAATCTATCAACATCAAAACTAATAATTAACTACATATCTAACTTTTAGCTGTATTTCTATGTGACTTTTAAATTGAGGGCAAATAACATGAATGGATGAGGCAGAAGGTCGTTATGAGAACAAACAAAAGTAAATTAGATATTTTAAAACTGAAATGTAGTTAAACTTTGGGGTTTTATATCTACTCACCATATAGTTCCAGTGAGGTGCGTCCTGTCTGTTGGCCCATTACACTTTGAATGGTAACTAAGTAATCTCCACTGTCACTGAGTTTCAGATTCCTGAGTTCCAGAGATCCAGTAGATCTGAAGAGAGTGATCCTGCCTTCATATCCTGACCCAGTTGTGTTTCCAGTAGTAAGAGAGAAAATTATGGGCTTAGGTGTTGAACCAGAATCAAACTGCCAGTTGACCAGCGTAAATGGTGTCTCTGTTGGATTCAAGCTTGTTGTGAACATTACTCTTCCTCCAACAGGGGCAATCAGAGGACCATCTGGTAACACACCAACTCCTTCAGATAAACCTGAGGAAAAATTTTAAATAAAGTAATTTAGTTTAAATTTGTGATAATTTCACAACATACAAAAATACATAAAGAAACCTCAGAAATAAAAAGAGTATTCATTTTCATCATAATATGTGTCTTCTAACCACATCTCCTCATCCTGCTATATTTATTGCCATTATTGTCCAATTTTGCAATATTTGTAATTGTTGTTTTCGCTCCCTGTTTGTCCTCATAAATTGTATGGCTGGTCATTTGGTTCTTTTTTTTTTTTGTCTGTCAACATCAAACAGCAGGACCTTCAAATTTCTCTTAGGTCTGCCAACCCTTCACAGCACTGAAGCTCTTAAATTTTTCTTAGCCTAATCAACTTTTCCATCTTACTGGTAGAGGGACTCAAGAATCAGAAACAATTACCCATTGTTAATTTACTACAGCATGCTTTCTGCAAGCATACACAATAGGAGAAAAGTAAGCTACAGATTCATTATGATACTTCTACAGTGTTCACACATATAATCTGGAGAAGAACAATGAAATAACACTATCACTAAAACACCAAAAAGATGTCTAGATGCATTTACTATTGTTAAAAAGGTAATTAAACCTCATGTTTTACAACTGAACTCCTACTCAAGAAGTTCAAAAACAAGAAAAGTAATATTTGGTTCCATTTTTGCCCCAAGAAGTATTATTACTTCTAATTTATTTTAATCCAATGAATGATGTATTTAATATAAACTCTTCATGATCTGAAAAACACATTTTGCCAACTTCATATAATTCCAGTAAGTTTTTGAAAAATATCCAGAAACCAGGAAGATGGAAGACACCATCCAGCTCTCAGTAGCTCAGAAAATAAACTTCGTAAATAACTGAGCACCAACATATATTAAAATGTGCTAAAGGGCACTAATAGACTGCCTTGCAGTGGTGTGTCTTCAGTAATTATATAAAAATATTAACACTTCCAATAAATTTTTAAAATCCTGCATTTATTTTTCAGAATAAAGAAATTAATTTGTTTGACAAATAAAGTTCAACTTTAATTAAAATTTCACAGGTACAGGTCAGTTTTGAATCAACTTGATTTATTTAATTGTTGCACGTTTGACTTCATGCTACAGTCCAACAATATTTTTGCTACTCTTTGTGTGACATTTGATGAGCTCTAAATGCTACAGATCAAACTTTTCTTGAGCAATTGGGATTCTGCAGTATTATTATGGGTTTGCGAAAGAAATTTGAAAATAATAATAAATAATTAAATCATAAATTTTTATTGGAATATTTTTTATTATATTATAGTTAAAAATAATTTTCAAAATAGTCAGAATCTTAAAACAAAAAATTCTAAATATAGAGTTTTACATTGTTGTTTGATCTAATTTGCTGCAGCTCGTGTTACATTTAAAAAGAATTAGCATTTTAGTAGTTTTCTCATTAGGTTGTAAGTTCAACTTCATTCATTTGTCGCATTAAGATTTAAGAATTACACCAACCTCAGTAAATAACAGTGCACACCACCAGATTGGTTTACACATTGGTTTACACAGTAAAGGACTGTAAAGTTTTAACCAACAGTATAAATATTTTTTCATCTTATATTTTCAGAGACAAAAACTTACCTATGATAATTCCAGGGATGATGAAGAATAAAATGAATGTATTCATGTTAATTCATTGAGTGTAAGGCAAAGCGTCTTTCCCTGACTGACTATCGTTTGGTTTACGATCTGACAACAGCTGCAACAGGAAGTGAAACTGACAAACCTTCACGTATTAATTATTAACAAATTATTCACTTGGGATTCTTTCAGCAGTAGCTTTAGAAATTAAAACTGAGTAACAACAAAAACATTAATTTCTAAACAACTATCTGAAGTAAGTTTTTTTTTATTATTTTCTTTTTCGTTTTTTCTAAAAATTGGCCATCAGGGCTTCCTGGAAAGCTAAAGTTCAATAAATATTCCTATTTTAAATAATCTGGGCATTAAACATGAATTCAAAGTTCAAAACCATCATATTCTATAATTGGACATGGACATTATATCAAATTCTACAGACGTAGATATATTTAGTACAAATTAAAATAACTAATGACTTAGTTATTTATACATCTCGAGTCATCTGATAAGACAAAGAAGCCTTGCAACCTCAAAGAGTTGGAGCTCTTTATCAAAGATTATATACCAATAAATCTTTGTGTATTGATTACTGAGAAGAATATTACATAAAATTACATATACCAATTTTTAATAAAATGTTAAGAAAAACATAGATGCATCATATTTATTTTACATTCCTTTATTGTATTTTGAATGATGCCTGCCTTATTTCATCGAAAAGCAAGTTTCTCTGTGAAATTACATTGATTTGAAATACAAAATTTCCAGGATTTTGAATATCTCAACAGTATATGATCCAGTAAAAGCAGTCGGAAGTAAAAATTTATTAATCACTGAAAAATGTTTGTGTTTCTATTTTGTCAATGCAGTCTCATTAACACTTAATTGTCATGATTTTATTGCAAGTTGAAAATATTCAACATTTATCAGTACCAGAAAAGCCCTGATTTTGTCTAAACTTATTTTTAGATATTAAATTTGAGACGTAGACCTTTTAAAGGCACCATACAACTCTTTTGAGTGATAGTATTATCTATCTATTTGTGACTTTTGAAATTACAAAAAATATATATCTTGATAAAATATATAGTTTATTTCTATTAAAAGATAAATCAAATAACTAATGTGGTGTAGATTAGCAATAAAATACATTATTCCATTTTAGTGCTGACATAAAATTTTAGACCTTTTACATTAAACATTATTTTAATATGTGCTACCAAGGAAGGTTTAGTCATGAGATATTTATTGAGCATAATTACGGCACCAGTCATTTAGTTCCTGTAAACCTTGGTTCTCCTGAACTAAAATACCATCAAGTGATAAAAAGCCTCAAACAAAGTGGTAAAACTTTATGTGGATCCCTATAATAAACCTGTCCATGGCCAGTTCAAGCATCCGGGGAAAACATTTCACGTTTTCTTTTAACAGCACATAAGAAATACTTTAACATTACTTTTACTGACATATCTCTTATAAACTTTTCACCTTGACTCAAATGTCAAATTCTCAGTTTCCTTTTATATCTAGAGTTTGAGTCACAGTTTAAATGTCTTTCAGATTTGTTTTGCAATAACATAGTTTCACCACTGGGAGGTGATGTTTGACAGTTAATGACCACAAACTGCTTGTTTGAGCCATGGATTTATTAAAGTAAGTGTACAAGGAGGCAATACTTACTTTAATAGTGCATGTGCAACTTTTCAAAAAATTTCACGGTAAATAAAGATTACATCTTTTTATTTTTTGCAATTATAGAGAATACTAACAGTCTAAATTATCTTGAAGCTTTAGTTATAGAAATCTGATATGACATAATATTCAAATGCAGTTGCTTTCATGTGTCTTTATGCATTATTTTTGACTAAACAACAGAAAAATGTCTGTGGATAAAAATCTGTAACAGTAATAAGAAAATGTTTAGTGATATTTATATATTTTTATTGCTACAGTATCAATTCACTTCAATAAGATCCTGAAAATCATGGATGTTCCTAAAACTGGATGAAACAAAGTTATGGCAGAACTCTGAGGGTTTGTGAACTTTGGATTCAGCTGTCATTTTTTCCAAAATGGAAATGCTGTCAAGTCATAAAGAGCTAAACAATAAAATAATAAAACCTGATAAATGCAGAACCAGAAAAGTGTTCACTGGTACAATAAGGAAGCTGTTTTGCATTGAATGTAGGTCAAAAATCCTCCAGGAGATACAGTAGATAAAATAGATTTGCCTTTTATTTTCTCAGGTGGAATTACAGCAACACTGTGAACAGTCTCCTACCCAATTTGTGTGTTTTATGTCAGGATATAATTTTATAATGGCATGGGCATATCAAATGTGCATTTAGGCATTTGCAAAAAACTGTCAATATATGTATAGTGATGGAGCATTTAATGAATGCTTTCCAACAAAGTTTGAACATTGTTAATATTTGCTTAACAGCTGTGATTGATCTTGAATGAGTTCACATTGGAAAAAAAAAAAAAGTAGATAATCAATTAAAAACAAACACATTGGCCTAAAATTACACCGACTTCAGTGCTATGAAGAAAATAAAGGACATATGGATTTATTTGGTAAATAAACAAATGTCAGACATGTTTGGCATGATGTTATGTGATTAAGGTAACACATTTATTTGAAAATACAGTTACCAGAATTTGTGAGTTTTTAGACTTACAAATTACAACACATTTTTTCTAGATTTTGGCACAAGATAAAGCTCAAGTGTCATGGATTCATAAATGGACATGCATCAATTTTAATAAACAACAAAACAGAATATACAAAAAGAACAAAAACCACGTTTGCTATTACTTAAGTACATAAAACTAAATATCAGCAACTTTTATTGCTTCTCATTGAGTAGCTTCTAGCAATAATTACAAATCATTGATGCTTGGCACCACTTCAAAAATTACAATATAAATTTGCATAGTTTTTTTAAGCTAACAAATTGGCAAAAAAGGTCAATCATTCTCCTCTCCTCATTTTGTCAAAGTAACACAAATTAACATATTTTCTAATTGAACTACACTTAAACAGAGGAAGAAACATAGTGACTGCAGTATGTTTCAATACCAATAAAATTAGATTAGAAAAAAATAACATGAATATTCTAAAAACCCAGTTTGACGAATGACCTTTACGCCTGAGACACTATCTGAAAATGTGTTACAAAGTACAAACAATAAAACCCTGACCAAAGCTTTAAAGACTATAAATACTATTTCTGAGCTAATCATTTCTTCTAATGAGACTGTGCAACTTGCAAGAATATGTAGTTTATTGAAATAAATGTAAACATCTAAAATAAAAGTACCATAAAAACAGCCTTGTCAAACAAATGTGCAGTACTAATATTCATTATTTTTCTCCTTTTCCAGATGGTAATATGCTACCTCGGTTTCTTACTTTTTGATGATCTGCAAGACAAAAGGGAAGCAGAAATATAGTGATTGAGTGATGATGAATAATCTACTTTAATTACATGTATTTTTACTGTTTTAAATGTAATCCTGTTAATAACAGAAAATAAAGTAACAATCTGTTTGTAATAGTCAGAACCAAGAACTCAGAACTCACCATTTAGGGAATAAAAACAGGAGATTTTATATCCTTCTATCATACAAGTCTGACATGTCCTCATAAACATGTACTGGAAAACAAGGAAGACATGTATCAAACAATGCCTTACAAAACCAGAAAAAACTGTTTAACAGTTTGTCACATTACCACAAACTTTAACATAGCAGTGAAAAGATTTTTTTATTGAATTTTAGTGGTTGAGCAACATATTGCAGATGGACGGAAAAGGATGCTTTTTGAAAACTTGTGTAATAAAAATGAAAAAAGTAAAATGGTCTTAATAGATGCTATACTAGATTGGCCTTTGAATATTTTAAAAACAGTGTTTCCTTCTTTCAGTTTCACTGTCATGCACTGCTTTGTGTTGTTCTGTTGTAACAAAATCCAAGTAAAATACATTCAAATCTGAATTAGTAGCATGAAATGAAGTTGTACAATCCCTTGCTTTTGCAAAATTATGTAGGAATTTTAATATAGAATTTTGTAAAGATGAAAAATAACAATACAGATAATTTCCATAACAGTGTTTATCCTGTTAACGTTTCGCAGTCCCAACTCAAAACATGCACTTTAAGCCTATGCTCTAATAAAGCATGACATAGAGAATCATCCACCTTTCTGTCAGCGTTGGTGTGAAATGTGAAGGGATGAAGTACAGCTACAACAATACATACCTGTTTTATCTGACTCTGATTGAGCTTGGACATTTTTTCTAAATATTGGAAACACAAACTAAAGTTAACAGCCAGTCAACCAAGCAGATCCATATATATATATATATATATATATATATGCAAATTTATATTGTATATTTGGGAATCCAGACTGGTAATAAAAATACAGGAAGAGAAAAAAAATCATGCTAAAAATCATGTTTTTCATATAAATGTATGTCTGAAGCACAAATGTAATTTGAGACTTACGCTCTCTTATGAATAAAGAAGCCTCCAGAAGCTACTAGAGCAGCAGCTATCAAGGATGCAATCACTATTGCAGCAATGACACCACCTGAGAGACTTGAAGCTCCTACAGAAGAAAAAATGAAACAGAAAACAAAAAATAAACAGTATGTTAAAAAACGATATTACTTATTTTGCAATTTATTTGGCTGACTTGTTGGAACTTAAATGTTAAGACAGGACCACAATGAAAAACAAAACAAAAACAAAAAAAACCCCCATCAAGTTAAACATAAGTTACTGACAAGAATATTTCCGTTATAAGTCCACTCACTGAGATCACTTAGCATCAAAAGTCTGTTTTTGGTGTAATTAAAAAAAAAAACAACAACTGCTAACCAGGAAAGTGCACAAAAATGCAAAGGATTGGCACACCTAGAACGGGCACCAGAGAGCACAGGAGGTGGCATCAACATCTGAGTGATGTGTTACAGACATCCAGTAAAAACACTGAATTAATGAGTTAAGAAAGAATGAATGATAGATATGTCACACTCCATTAAAGGAACTTGATAGACTGGTTATACTTGAACCCCAGTGGTCATGACATGCAAGTTAGGGATATTTTGAAATGGAGCTCAAGCGCAAATTCAAGCTGGAAAACTTCTGCCTCACCTGCTCCACCCAATCGCTGTGTCATGCTCTCCGCCTCCAATCCCAGCGCTGGTCCTGGACCCGGCGTGTTCAATCATCAATCAACCAAGCTCCGCTTATAAGGGTCCACACCCATGCCAGCAGCTGCTCTCCAGCTGTGCGCAACCCACCTCCACCCCGTTCTCCACCAGCATCATTCAACTCTCCAGGACGTCATCCTTCCTGACCTCCACCACCAGTGTCGGGCCTCGGGGGGTAGAGCATCCCTAATCAGCGTTGGGGATGTTCACCCGAGTTCACGGCAATCAGCGCTCAAACTTCTGCCGGGGCCCGAGCGCCAAAGAACTGTTGTTCATTTCTAAAGAATTGTTGTTCATTTTGTCATTAAATCCTTTAACTATCTTTTCTGTGTCTGAGTTTATCCAGATTGAAATGGATATACTGTATTGTAAAGCATAAAACTGGATCGTATATGTATGCTTTCCTTAAAGATGGCTGTACGTTTGCTAGAGTTAATCAAATTTCTAAACAAAATGGCTCCCCAACTTTCTATTTCCTGTCTATTTATCTTGATTTCAAATCAGACATTGAGGTAAACTGTATAAAATTAAACTGACACACATCTGGAAAAGTATTTTAAGATAACACCTCAAGCTTATTGTTTCTTTGTATAACATTATAAGAAAAAAATAAACATAAATCAGCTCAGATATCAGAAAGTTATGTTCAGAACTCAGCAAATCTGTTTTAAACAATTGATCTATGTAAAAATGTCATAGGACTGTCTAGCCATCACACTGTTAAAGTGTGTCCCAGAGATAAACGGGTTTTTAACAAATTTGACCTTGTTGGCTCACATCAGGTCTTTAATTGGGCCAGAGCTATTCTACACCAATCACTCACATGATAAAGACAATGCTAAAGTTTGTCTCCACAACATAGCTTGACTTAAAGGTTTTAAATTTAATCATTGATCAGCTCAAAATCTAAACTATATCTGATGTTGCTAAAATTAGACATCATTATTATAATGGTATGCTCTTTAAATGGCTAAGAACTTGTAAAACCATTACTTGTAAAATGAAATTAAATGTGAATCCTGTAAAGCACATAAAAAAATAGCATGACAAAATCTATACAAAGAGACACCTGATAATGACTTCTGTAAAACAGGGAAGAACCCAAGGTACTGGTGAAAACTTATCTATAGCAAGATTTAATAAATTTTCAAGATAAAAAAAAATAAATAAATCACTTATCTAGCATTTTTGAGATAATGTGCCAAAGGTTACAAATTTAAACCATTTTTGTACAATTTTGATTTTTCCTCTGACATTTTCTTTTACTTTATTATACTTACGATCTATCGAGATATCTAAAATTTGAGATGTTTGATATCTTGAGGTTCTGCTGTTAAAGGCCTGACAGCTGTAGTTTCCACTCTGATTCTTCTGAACATTGAGGAGTTCAAGCTGAGATCCAGAACCAGACAGAATTTTTCCATTAAAGAACCACTCAAAGGTGATTGGGATGGAGGTTCAGCTTCTGTCAGGAAAACAACCCACAATCTAAAAGATTTGAGCCGCATTCAGTTGTCTATTATCTTCTAAAAATAAACTTGCGAGTTTTAGATTTTGAACCTAAATGTGTCAATTTGTGAAAGGTAAACTTACAAAAGTAAGTTGTATGAACATTTATTAATGTTGTCAAACCTCCAAGAGTTAGATAAACAAGAGTTTTCAGATTAGCGCTTCAGAAAGACTAAAAGAAGGACAGGAGTGGGAACTATTTCCCAGAGTGCTTAGCAGCATGTTTCTGTGTCCTGTGTTGCACCGTGAGCGAGATGGAAGTGTTACATTGATGTGACTCTTGTGGGTTAGCAAAGCTTAAGGTTAATGTCCTCTACGCATTAAATCATGTTAAGTTTATTGTAATGTTTAATAACAATTGATTTTCAGATCAGAAACTTTGTTCATGCAATTTGAAATAAGAATTTAAATTATTCTAAAGAAAATAAGTAGTTATTTTCACTTGTCAGTGAAAACAAAAGAGAAATGTGTGCCCTTTAACCAGGTAAGGGGAAATCTTTTCTTGCATATTGTGAAACAATTATTTGGTTTAAATTGCAGCATTAAGATAAAACTTACAATTAAAGAATAATGAACTTTAAACAATGTTTAGACAACTTGTCTCTTGTTGTTAAATCAACTTCATGATTTTTAATTTATGAATTAAAACCAAAACAACTTTCATATTGACTTAAATTGCATTTTCAAGGCAGCAGGTGGACTTTCATTTTCAAGTTAAACCACCTTCAAATGTTTTACAGTGCAATACATACAGCTAGAGCTACAATGGCATATTTACCGATTAGTATGGCTGGCCTAGTCAAAGTACAGACACTAAATTGAATTTAGTCTAAGTAAAAGGTGGTCCTAGAGGGCATAGGAGGGCTGAATACAAATACACTTTTGAGATTTTCATCTGTAAAAGATTTTGAAAGCTGTTTCTCCTCTTCTTTACCAAAATGTGTTGGTCCATCACATAAAATACGAATAAAGTATTTTAAAAGTTTGTGAATGTGATGTAGCTTACCTTCTTTGGCGTTATCTTCTATAGAGATAACTGAAACTTGAGATGTTTGATATCTTTTGGTTATGCTGTTAAAGGCCTGACAGCTGTAGTTTCCACTCTGATTCTTCTCAAAATTGGGGAGTTCAAGCTGAGGTCCAGAATCAGGCAGAACATTTCCATTAAAGAACCACTCAAAAGTGGCAGGAGGTCTGGAGTCAGCTGAACAATTCAGATGGATTTTCAACCCTTCTGGATATTTATGAGAAGGTGGTTCTAAGTTGACATTTTCTGGACCATCTGTAACAATTAATATTAATTAATTCTCCACATTTACCTTATAACCAGCTTTTTCAGTGTAGTGTTAGTTTAACAGCTGCTTCGTTAAGAGAAATAGTACAAATATTTGAAAATGAATCACATATTTAAAGTTTATTGGATGACCAATATTATTACTGACATGATTAACTGATGATGTTTTGCAAATATGATGATGTTGTACTTAATCTGACTTTTTAAAAATGTGTTTCTCATATT